TAGTTATTATACCCACTACGATAATGACGTTAGCTTAATTTATAAAATATCTCAACTCAGCTTAAACAGCTACCTTTGTATTATCAATTTCTTTTTCAAGTTTCCTTTAAAATTATTTTAGTAATATTGAGATTTTTAAAGAAAATACAGGGTGTTACGTATAAGAACCGACACAGAGCAGGGGAACCCAAATTATGGTGACTTAACGCAACTTACCTTTATACTAAGTCGCACCCCTGAGAAGTTATAGGCCATGAAAGTTTCAAATTTCAAAAAAAAATCAATATCTCAGTTATACTAGCAACTAAATTAAAACGTTATTTTTATACACAATTCAAATACAACAGCTTTCAAATAACACAATGACAGTACAATAATGATCCTTTCAAATAGAATTTTTGTTTGATATCCAAAACCTACTATTGCTATGTTAGCTTCTTTTAGTTCATGTCTGCTACAGATTATATTCGTTGTTTTTACTGATTGTTCTAAAACAGTTACTTCAATAAAGAAATGTGACCTAACATTTTTTATTTACAATTTGAAGATTTGTCAAATTGTGTTAAAAAAACAGGATGTTGCTATTTAAAAAAATATTGTTTTAGTAGTTACTGGAGAAATCTGGCTACACCGAAAAGCATTACTTTTAAATTTTTCTTAGTCATGTATTTTCTACAACTTTGCATTTGGAAATACTAGTCTATCACTTCAAATAAAAAAGTTAGTCTATGTCACGTTTAAAAAAAAATATATTGTATATTTGGACACCTTTGGTCATCTATACTTTTAGTTGCGTTTGGAAACTTTATAGGACCTGCTCCTAACTTGTTGATGTAGGTATGTGCTAATATAAGGAATATTCATGCTGTATTCATTAAAATATTTTAATAAAATTGACAGAACCTTTTGGCGCAAGGGTTTGTTTAATTAATTTTTTTCACAGGTGGTAAAATAGCCAAATAGAGATAAAACTAAAACTATGTTACAAATATATAGTTCCAGACCACATTCAACAAGCCATTAGTAGGATACCTAAGAACAAGAATAACAATAACCTGTCTTCCCCATGTACAAGGTGATTCACTGTATTTTGATCCCCCTCTAACTTTTTTGTTTTACGAGTTATACAAAAAATGTGAAATACAAAAGTTGCTCGATTTTTTATGAATATTTCGAAAATTATAGTTGAGAAACAAATGAAGTCCAAACAAAATGGCCGCTGATGTAATCTTTCTTTATATAAATGGAACATCCTGTATATTTTCACATATTTGGATAGAACGTTCCCTGTCGAGCTTAGTCATATAGGGTTTGTTGGGTCCATCTCTAACAATAAGCGAGACGCTATTAAAAAACGAAAAGATGTTTTTTTATTAAGAAAATAAGATATCTTGTAATTGTTAGACCATTTCAGGCATTTCTATTTTTTTCTGATTACATGAGGATTTACAGATTTAGTTTTAGTTTAGTTAGTTATGCCCGTTATTGAACGTTAAGTTAAGCAAATTTTATATATGATTATAACTTAAGATGTAAGTAATATGATGTAATATTTTTAAATATGTTTATTAATCATATACAAAATGAATTAGATATAACCAATATTTTGTCAAGTGGGGGTAATTTGTCGCAATGTTTATGGGGCAAGTTGTCGTGCGATAACTTGCCCCATAAACAACTACGTGGTTGGTAAAACGGTCATATTGGAAGATTTTAAATAGGTACATAGAGATACACTATACAAAGTGTATTTCTAAAATATTTTAATTTATCTTAAAATAGGTCTAATGAAATGTAATAGGAACACGTTATTTTATATGCAAAACTAAACGAGCACCCGTTAGTTCAGATGTTATGATGACAGCAGCAAGAGCAGTTAAGCTTAGACATCCACCAATTACAAGTTAAAAGAAAAGTTTTTCTTGATGAGGAAAATCACTCACTAAAGAGCAAAAGCATTGTTAAGCAAAAAAAAGTGAAGTTAGGGAAGAAGCCCACTAAACACGAAACGTAAATGAAACGTTGCAAATGAGCTGTTTTACTACACATTTGAAACAATAACTAGAAACGGTGCTGTTTCCTTACAGAAATGTAGCACTTGAAAACTTACTTAGTGAAACATAGCCGAAACATTCCAATTGAAGAGAGTTTGAAACATTACTCGAAACATTCCCTTTCGATCTCGGAAACGTAACAACGTCAAACAAACAACCCTTTGCTTTTGTTTATCTTATAGAACTTCCATTCGGCGTTACTTAAACTTTGCTCTCAAGCCCCTCAAGAATAGCAAGCGTTAGTTCATTTGCCTTTGTTATATGTACAACCAGACATAAACAGAAAAAAAATTGTGGTAGCATATTTATAACACAAGTCTAGAAAAAATGTATGTTCGTGACTTGCGCAGACCGCGCGTAACA